AAAATTTTACTTTTTACTCTGATATCTAATAAGTTTCTTGCAGATTGTACGATACGTATACACTCCGTGCGCGTTTGCTTCTTCATCACTTAAAATTTTACTCTAAAAACACGTTACACACGCCGTAGCTTCACAAAAATTTGCGCGCAAAAGAATCTCGCGAACTCTGATAAAATTGTTTACATTTCTGTGAAAGGAAATGCAACCAGAATGCGCCAAGCTGCGCGGCGACTATCGTGAAATGACAACTCGTGCATGTGGGACAAGGGAAAATCGTCGAGGACATATTTTTCTAGGGCTAGATCCGCGCCTAGAGAAATAGGCAGGGGCATGATAATCGTTCCAAAAAAGGGAGCGAAGGAGGGAAAGAGAAAGAAAATATGTGAGAGAGAAAAAGAAAGAACAGTTTAAGCAATGCCAGCTGCGCTACTATAACATACCGAGAGACCTAAACGCTCACTACCAATAGAAGCCAACTGTTCATTAGTCTGTTAGTACAGGCTGTTCCAAATTGTCCCCGAGACGCGTCGTTGAGCCTGCGAGGGTGTGCTTGGTCACGCCGTGCTCGAAAATCATGGAAACTCTCGCGATTCGGCTACTTTGCGGTGAGACCGACGTTCCTAGGCGACGTAAAAATTGTCCCCTTAATATATCTGCGGTTTTTACCCCGGCACGCCATTAAATTTATAGCGGAGATATAATTAGGGTTCACCGTCGACGGCGTGTTTTGTTGGAAAAATTGTCAACGTTCGCGGCAACGACCTCATGAACGTGCATTTTAGACCGGGAAAAAGTGAGAATTTTTCACAATTCGACGAAACAACAGACTTGCTTTTTAAATCGATAAATGAGGAGTAATTTACAGTAGTTAGACACGAATTAATGAAAAAAAAAGTAAGAAAAACACATGCAATGAATCGGGAAAAAATCCAATTTTGTTCGTGAAAGAACTGTTTGGAAAAAAAACTTGTTTACGTCTTGCGATCTAAATACGATCTAAATGCGGAGTAGACGCATTTAATGGGGCTGATTTCTTTTTTCATCACAGCCCGGAACGATGAGCGCTATTAAGTGCGACAATGCAGACGCAAACTTTGCACGCTAAAAAAGCTTCTAGCGACAGATGCGAGACAAAATTGCGTTCTTTGGAAGCTGCTATAGAAGCAGCAGCTGCTTCGCTGGCAAGTCAGGAATCTCCTAAATCCTAACTTACCGATCGCCTTAGCGTGCTGGTAATTTACTTTGTTTACTTACATTTATTTTTAATTTTGAAGTACACAGCCACTCGGAAATATGTGGAAAATATGAAAAATCCGTGCATTTTGAAGATCACAATTATTTACTTTAGTTCTTTTTCTGGTACGTGTTTAGCGCTTCTTTCATTAATTAAAAATCTAATATAATTACAATAAAATTAAATTCTACTGACATTTTTGCATCTTAACACAAGAATAGAAGTTACACCTTCAATATAAAGATATTAGTAACCTTGTAACTAAATATAACTAAAAATTACAAGTATCGTGATTATTATGCAGAAATTATGTTTGACATTAGAACAAAAGTTGAACATCTTATTTGTTATCATTTTTAATTTTTTCAAAATAATACATTGACAAAAATAGCTTTCAGCTGCAAAGATATGCGATATTTTACGTATTTTTTCTTAAAACAAAACTGCTCAGAACATTTCTGTAATTTGAAATAAAACATCTGAGAAATTCGTTATTTTAACGGGTTCTAGTATCAAGTATGAGTCTTTTCGTTTAAAATATCTTACTGATTGGTGAACTGGAGCGCGTTTGAAATAAATTACTCGTGTATTATATTTCGCATATAATAAATGCGAGACTTTGACGGGTGCAAATTGCGTATGTGTATTTCAAAGAAAAGATATAATTTAATAAACGCACATAACGGCGCCCGGCTGAGTAATAAACGTATAGAGAAATAGATCGCGGGACTGCCGTCGAGACAGAAAGAGAAATTTTACGAGTTAGTTATTAAGGATCGCCATTTTCCGATTTTCCCCCTTATCCGGGTCTCGAGGGAAATAGGTTCTGGGTGCATTTTGCCGAGAGCAGCCGGTTCATTGTGGAAGGGAGAGAGAGAGAGAGAGAGATTGTACTCTTTGGCAGGCTAGAAACATTTACCATAGCACAGCTACGCGGACCCACGAGACCGCGCGCAGCCAATTCATTTTCCGTTAGATTTTCCCTCGTCCCTTGATCGGCATGGCGGACAAGAGAGACGGAGAGATTGCAGCCTGCGAAAATCGATGCGTAAGGAATCAAATAAATTCGTTATACATAGACCCCACGTAAAATTTAAGTTTTTATCAGGCGACATTGAGATCGAGGAAATAAGCAACAAAGATCAAAACTCTTGATGTTATTTGACAAAGAAAAGTCAAACGTTTTTGAAAAAATGTTACAAGACACAATATGGTGATACAAGACACAATATTGTGTGTATATGTGTATGTATGTTTTACAAAATTTTGAATATACAACAAATGATACGCAACACTTTTCGTGATATTCTTCGAATTTTCATAGAAAATATCGTCAAATTATTTGGTGGAAAACTGAAAAGTATGGAATAATTGAGCTCTAATGATCTGATCTTTTTTTAAAATAAAAACTCTTTTGAACTGTAAATTCTACGAACAATTTAATGAAAAAAAGAATTTTATTTAAGCCGATAAGTAAATTTCAATTTATTGAAATTCTTTGTTAAAATTTCAAGCAAGTTGCAATTGATTGAAAATAGCTTGAAGCAAAATTCTTGATTGCTTCGGATCTGAAGTGAAAAAGTTTCTTAGAGCGTATATTTTGTACAAAAATACAAACAAAGCGCGCGCAAAATACTTTCACAATTGCTCGCCGTAATCTTGTCGAGGACAGTCAAAAAAATCGCGTGGACGCGAAAAATTACGACGCGCGCAAATAACTACGCGTATATATGTACACAATGGTGAATGGTGTCGTTGACGTCGCGGTAATTAAACGCAGTCCGCGGCTTTGCGTTCCTTCTCGCTCCCTGCTAATTAATCGTAATTTATTAACGACATCTTCGCTCGGCGCTCGAGCACGGGCAGGTGAATAGAAACAACGTTGTCGCGTATGTGTGTGTGTATGTGTGTGTATGTGTGGGCGCGGTTTCTTCCTTTTTTTTCGCCCTCTTCCATGGCTTCGAGCACAGCACCCTGACCCTGGGCACACGGCCAGCTGTCTCACTCCACCCCTTTTGTGAGAGGCGCACACTGCTCTAAGAGTGGGATTTGTCTATCCCTGCGCGCGCAAAAAAGGAAAGAGAGAAAGAGAGAGAGAGAGAGAGAGAAAGAGAAAAGGAGAAAGAGAGAAAGAAAGAGAGAGAGCTGTGTGGTGCGCAAGGACGGCGGGATCGTCGGGCGAGAGAACCAGGGCGAAGGAACTTTTGTGGAGCCCGCGGAATAATTAGCATGCTCTCCTCGGCAGCCTAATTTTAATGGAACACCGACATACGGCGTTTCATATTGTAATTCGTCCTACATTGTAGCTCGCACGGTTCTGAATATTATTATCTACCGAGTTTCCTTCCTCCGTGCAACTTTCTTACGCACGTTGAAGAACATCTCCGCGCGTATTACACAACCACTGTTGTCGATTATGTTGTGAATGTCCTGAAAAATGTATTTGAACGAAAACTTTTCGTGTAAACAATATAACTACTTTTATAGTTTTTTTTATAAATCTTTCTACGATATTATAGTTCTGAATACAAATTAATTTATGTAATATATTATTAAAAAGAGAGAGAGAGAGAGAAAGAGAAAGACATAAGCATGTTCGTAGGAAAATGTCTAATTGTTGTATTTGTAACTTGCACAATTTTTGTTCAAGACATAGTTAACGCACGTTGATAAAAAGGCACATAAATGTACAAATGACTGGCAAGCGAACAATTTTATAATTCTAAAAATATTCTTGTTCTGATTAGAATGTAATGAACACTGACGGCATAAAATTTTACACAATTTTATGTTGCTTCTAAAGACATTCAAAATGTCTTTCTGATGCCGTCAATTAGTAGAATTTTCAACTTTTCGTCTATAATCGATACGAAAAAAAAATAAATCGCGCGGTTCATCGTCCGCGGTCCTCCGAAAACACCCGGTAGATTCTGCAGACTTCAGCGCGGAGGCGCGAGTGAGGACTCGCACACACATTCGCACACAAACGCACGATTTCAGCGATGTGTATGACAGGGTCGGCGCGAGTCGGGAGAGAAAGAGAGAGAAAAGTCATACGAGGAAACGAGCGAGCGAGCACGCATGCACACGCGCTGCTCTCGCATGCACGCATAGCGCGCACGCATGCAAGACGCGCGCATAGTCTCGCGGCTGCGAAAACCGGCGTGCGAAAAGCTGGCCAATGGCGAGCAGAGGCGGGAGTCGGTGGGGTCACCCACGTGGTCCGCGAGCGGCCAATCGGCGCGTCACCGCCGGCGTATTTCGAGTTGGTTTCCCGCTCGACGTGCCGCATTTGCGTTCGCGCGCGAGAGAGACGGACGAAAGAAAAAAATAAGCCACGGGAGTGCACGCGCGAGCGAGAGGAGAGCCACGAATTCGCGAATGGAGGAGAGAGAGAGGGCTAGCGGTGGCAGAGTAAGAAAAGAAGAGGAGAGAACGAGTTTGCATCGCGTCTTAACTCCCCCTTCCCTTCAGAGGTAAAGGGGTGAGAGAGAAAGAGAGAAAGAGGGGCCGCAACATGCCGAACGAGAGAGCCTCTTAGACGTCGCGTTGTGGTCTAGCCAAAGAGAGGAGATCCTGGAGGAAAGGTGCGTCGTCTCGTCGTCGTCGCAAATAGAAAGAGAGAGGGAATTCCTCGGACACACCGCGAGTCGACGAGGGGGAGAGAGACAGATCCTGGCGAACGCGCGCGTCGTCCCTTAGAACTTCGGAGCGATCGGGCAGGGCCATTTCTGCGAGGACAAGCCGCCGGCCGGTTTCCATCGTCGTCGGTTTCTGCGATCGAGCCGCACTGTGACGAACAGCCACCGGAAGCGCGTCAGATTCGCGCAACAGCGCCGCGTTCGAGTCGTCCAGAGAGACAGACAGCGAGAAAGAGTGAGAGAGACAGCGAGCGGAGACCGCACACACAGTCGTCGCCTATCCGCGGATCGAGCGGGCTCGCAGTTGGCCAGTCGAGGCGTGAGGAAGCCAGCAGCGGAAAACAAAAGAAGGTGCCAAGCCCGATCGAGAACCGATCTCGTCGCAGAAGTCGTTCAAGGACCTCTCGTGCCTCTCTCGTCTTGTCGTGCCTTCGCCTCTCTCGCGTGTGCAACCGTGATTCACACGCGATCCGTGATCGACCACCTCGTGTCACCGGGACATCTCATCGTTTGTAACGTCCGCGTATAATATCGTTCAAGCAAGGATAACCAAATCGTGCCCGCCCGTGTCGAGATCAGCGGACGCCTTCAGGTTTTCCCCGCAGTCAATCAATTTACCCGCGCAACCTCCACGTTACCACCGGCGGTACCGGTCGTCGTTCTCTTTCCCGCTCACCGTCTTCGTCGTTTATTTTTCTTTTATTATTATTATTATTTTTTTTTTATCCCATCGCGCGACATACACACACACACACTCTTGTCGTGATTCCGTTCGTGTCGTGCTCGCGTTTGTCAAGTTTTCATCATCTCCACGTCGTAGACCACGAGTCTACGACGAGCTCAGTACTCGGACAAGTCGCCGGGTACGCGAGTCCGCGCGCACGCGCACCCACGTAGTCGTCGTCATCAAGCCTTGATACACGTGACCGAGCTACAAACTCGGTGGAAGCCGGCATCATAGCGTCGAGAAGCGAGCAACAGCAGCCAGCCACGATGTCGAAGCTCTACGTGGGCAATCTGCCGTCAGATTGCAACGAGAGCGCTCTCAGGCAACTCTTCCAGGAGCACAGCCTGGCGTGCACCACGATCCTGGTTAAGCGCGGCGGTTACGCCTTCGTCGACTGCGCCGATCAGTCCACGGCCGATCGGGCGATCGACAAACTCAACGGTGAGTTTTTTTTTGTCGCACGATGATAGGATTAATCACGCTAATAATCTAAGTTGCTTTTCATGCTTTCAATCATGCTTTCATCACGTTGCTTTTTTCATCGCGCGAGGACGACGACCACGACCACGATGACAACCAAGAGAAGAAACGAAGATGAGGATGGACCGTTTGTCTGCTTCGCGCCACAACCGCTTTGCCAGCCATTTGTACATTAATAAACGCTTTTATCGCTTTGCCACGTTTGCCGCTACCTTTTCCCAAGCTTTTGGCTCGCTTCTCCTTGTCGCAAACATTAATTAACCGGTTAGGTCGATTAATGTTTATGGCAGCAGTCCTGTGCAAGTTGTGTGACATGCAGAGATAAAAGATTTTTATCGAATCTTATCGACAGAAATATCTTTGGAAAGATATCGAACAAAAAGATAAAAAAAAAATTCTCTGCTCTGTCACACACACACACACAAACAAGCTGTCCGCATTTCACTCGCATATTATTTATCATCCGATGCTTACATTTATTTTCGCACACGTATCGAACGAAAGAAGAGTAAAGAAAATTGCTTTTCTGCTTTGCTTTGCCGAATAGGCTATTTTTTTTGTTTTTTTATTTTTTTATTATGTGAAATCGTCGAAATGTGCGTCTTTCGAAGGATCGAAACGGGGGGAAACTGTTTAACGCGTCACCGTTACATCGATAGTCGAGCGCTACTTGTTTCTGTCTGACATTCCGCGTGAAGCTGGACATCCAGACGTATTCACGCGTGTAGCAGCTCGATCGATGTGACAAATGAAACTGCCAGTATCCATCGTGCGACGTTAATTAGCGAAAATTCTGTGCGTGATAATTGTCGAGTTGTAAAATACCGATTATTTTCGGACGGAGAATCCATTTTGCGCAATAATAAATAAAAATCGTCGCGCGTCAGTAGATTGCCAAGTGATAGAAAAAAAAAAACAAATTGTCCAAATACCGTCCGTTTCGGACACACACGATTGCGACAACATTAGGGGCAGAGATAACCTCCCACGCGTTTCACACGAGCAATAAAATAGGAAAGCGATCCTCCCATTAGCGAGGCTTCCTCAGCCACAATTTTTCTCGTCGCTCACACTCTTCGGTATATTGCAAACGCGTGTGCGGGTTTTTTTTACGACCGTCGAAAAGAATACTTAATGATCGCGCTCGGGATGACTCATCGCGCTCGTCGGGCCGTACTTCGTCGGTCGATAAATAGATAACTAGTGCTTATTCCGCGATGTCCCTTGAGAGACGTTCGAACGTCTCTTCGGTATTAACTCAATCATTACTCGCGAGAGAAGACAAGAAACCGGGGCGCGAATTACGAGCCGGCGGCGTGCGAGAGAGACTCTCCGCGCGCGAATTTACGAGCGTCCGGAATTAGGATATCGCGCGCGCGCGCAAATCTGACGTGTGTTATATCTCGAGAAACGAACGGCCGCACTTCCTACGGGTTTGTCCTCGGTAAGAAGATTGCGCGCGTTTCGATTCGACGAGAGGATCTCTCTTGTATTTGAGAACCGCTGAACCCCGCGTGTGACTCTCTCTCTCTCTTCCGCCGAGAAAAGGCGGTCTTTTCGCCCACGTCGAATGTCTGCACGTGGTACTCATTTCTTTCTAATCCCGGCCTCGGTCTGTTCTAACCTAGCATAGCGCGCGAACAAGCTCGGTGTCGCACGAATAAGTCTCGGTACTTTGTCTCTAATCCAAGAAAAAATGTCCCGAATGATCAGACGTTTGTTGGAAATAATTACAACAAAGTGATACGTAAACGTAGGAATTGATATTTAAAAAGATCTCAAGGAACAATTGACGCATTAACAATTTTTGCGAATTGCGTTTCTCGATTTGGAAACGCGCAATGAGGCAATTGTCCCGCAATGAACGGACAAAGAAATAAGAAAATATAAATATTAATCGTAACGATTTTCAATGTTGTAAATGATTTTTTATATTTGTAATTGTTAGTTTTCAAACGTGTCCGGTCATTGTGGAACAGTTACACCGGGGGGCACTTGTGTAATTTATTGGTGATATTTTGTGAAATTGTAAAAATATCGGCACGAAGTGTCAGAATACATCAGGTCGTAATGTCGAGTTACGTAAAACAATCTCAATGAATCAGTTTATTTTTTTTCATATACAGCGTTCGTTATATATTTCTTTGATTTATTTATCGGAGCTGAAATGCTCGCTCAAGGCATTTCACACGTCCGTGGTTACAACTTAACGTATCTTTAACTTTGTTTTCCGAAATACACAGAACAATCTCTTTTTCTCTCTCTGTCTCGTCCGCTCGACTCGCGTGAAAAACCTCATCCACGTGGTAAGGATAGACGCATCGGCAAAATGGCGCCAGTTACGGCGCAACAAGGTCGTGCTTGTGTGCTCGACGGAGCGATAAGTCGCTGATAATCGCGCGCGTCGCCCAGCCACACTGTTGTCGATCGCTCCGATTACAAGGCCGGCTCTTCCCGCCAAAATGAAAGCTAGGTGCGCACTTGAGAGAGAGATTTTTTTTATCAGCGATCGAATTTTGTTTCTTTTTTTTTTTTTTTATTGCATAAGTATCTAAAAGCGCGTCACGTATCGAAATATCGTATTTGCCAAAGAAATCAGATGGTTTTTTTTTTTCTAAAAATAATCTGAGAGAAGATTATCGCGTCTTCGTGTTTCGCGTCGACCCTTTTATCGCGCGAAACCCGTTATCACGGTCCTGACCTAACGTTTCCGACTTATCCCATCGATCGTGAGAATTTGAACCGGCACTCTCGCCTGTGCGAGCTCCGCCCGCACAAATAGTAGTAGTCGGTCCATCCGAAGAGAGAAGAAATGTGGTCAAGGTCGCGAATGGCTGCGCGCGCGAGGCGCGAAGCGCGTGACGTATGGAGCCCCCCTCTCGTCACCCCCGCTCTTCCACCGTCTCCTCCGTGAGGTTAAAATTTACATCGCGAATAGCCGCCGATCTCATCTTCTCAGTCGCTCTTCTCCGCCTCGTCCGCCGAAAAATCGGTTAGTCACACTCGTCACGTTCCGCGGACGTACGCACACACACATACACACGCATGCGCGCGCGAGCGCTTCTGGTATCCAGATCATATATGTGTATAAAAATTCCATTGACGATTCTGTAGTTCTCAACGGCCGCTTCATTACGGCATAATGCACGCGCGTAAGGCCACGTTTCTTTTTTAAAACTTTTCTGAGACACACGAAGGAGAAAAACGACGATTGAAAATAATTCTTACCAGTTTCAAAAACCCAAGTTCAGAAACGCTCGAAAACATTTTAAGATAAAAAACGTCTCCGAGATAATTCCCTATCATGTGAAATAGTTTGTCGTATCTTTGAGCTATATCTTAAGTAAATACGTTGTCTGAAATATTTGTTAATTTTTGATAAAAAAGTTTTAGTGGACAAAAATGATAAGTGGTTTTTTCTTGAAAATAAAAAACTTTTTATAAGAAATTCAATGAGTCACTCAAACAATTACTTGTTGTTGACTCTAAGATATTTCTGTCAGTTTGACGCAACATCGGAATTTTTAATTAATTAATCGATTTTGAATTATTTATTTTTTTTATATTGACCGACAAATTTGTAGTTTGTTGCGCTTCGTACATTTCGCAGAATTTGAATACTATTATTTATCAAAACAAACATTTGTTGCTTTGGCGGCTTTTTTCGCGTAATACGCTGGCGCGCGCGCGCGCACACACACACTTACATACACACACACTTAGCCGATATATCGAGCGCACAAGGGCTGCTTAGAAGTGTTGTGCTACAGGAAGGAGAGGCCGGGACGAGACTCTCCTCGGAGCGCGATTCATGGCGAACGCTTTCTCTCTCTTTCTCTCTCTCTCTCTCTCCCTCTATATTTCGTTAGCAATACGGTCGTTGCTTCTGCAGCGTAAGGGCCGATTCTCGGATACAATGCCGCGCGAAGAACGTTACCGACGACGAGCCGAGGCCAGAACTAGTTTGGTGGGTTGTTGAGTTAGGTTTTAGAAGAACTTCTACCAAAGCCGCGGTCTAATCGGGCTTTGGGCGGCTTGCACGCCGCTCTGTCTAGCAGCGAGCTGTGTGTTCGTTCGTTCGCATCATTTCGGAGCAGTTGCCGAGCGGTATATTGCGAACAAAGTATATATTTCGGACTTAGCGAACGTGTAATTCCGGATGTACATTAGTGGCTCGATAGCCATTAGTTTATTTTAAATATCTTGAATTACTTTTGTTTTTATCTACTAGACAGATGATTAATACGTAATTGTTGCTTTTTGCGATTCTTAATTATTTTTTTTTTTTAATTAAGAGAATGTTGGAAATACGATCGTTTTGTTTGATAAATTCACTGGAATGTGTTTTCGCGCTCTCCAACGTGCCCTGAGAATTTTCCCAAGCGAAGTTTTTTCGATAATTTTTCGAAGAAGACATTCTCTCGGGCATTTTCTCGCGGATCGCATTTTTCCCCAAATTCCACGTTCGACCGCAGACGAACGCCGTAACGTGCCACGCATGCACGTGCGTGCACAGCATGCGTCTTCCTCTTTCACAGCCGGCGTTCGTGCACGCTACTTCGCCCGGCACGATCCCTCGAAGACACGAAGCCGGGGACTAAAAGTCGGACCCTGCCGAGACGCCTACAGGAAGCTGCCACATTCTTCTATTCCGGCCCGTCTCTCCGATCGTTTTCTTCTTTTCCTCGTAACGCTCCGCCTTGTATCGAATCAGCCGTTATTTATCGCATCTCAACCCCCGCTACGACGTGGTTTTTTTTTTTGTTTTTGTTTTTATTTATTAGGGACTCAAAGAGCAAAAACAAAAAGTAAAATAAAAAATCTTCGAAATATATGTAGCAAATATAGTCGTTGCGTTGAAACGCCAAGCGTGAAGGTTCACAGCCTTATAGCGACGCTCGTCTCGCGAGCTAGAACGAGCAGATGCACGAATATATTACTTCGTGTATCCAACAGTGCCC